AAGGTGCGTGGTGCTCCGTCAAACAGTTATATGCACGAGTGACCCAACTATTCATTCCGTGAACTGTCCCGAGGGGACGGAAAAACTGTCCTCCATGGATAAACCACAAAATCCGAATTTCGCTACGACGTAAGAAAGAGTGTTGGAGTCTTGCCACCCACCTTAGCACACCCAAAGTGGTGAAGCACTACAAAGAAGCTTGCAATAAATGCATCACTGCTGTCGGCCGGTGTCGAATAATCTTTGAAACACGTCTTGCCTGGGCTGCACTGCAACATCGAAAGAGGTTATTTTCTTATATGAACCATAGGAATAAGACGTATACCCGATCTAATAAAAGGGACAGAAACTGAGTGTTTGTTTGAAGACGATATGGAAAAAGCGGAAGGTATGGCTGGATATTTTGCTGAGGTCTTTGCATAGGAATCTTTTGTGGACACTTATTCAACAATAGAATAAACTTCGTGGATATCAATCGCAATGATGTATTTCGGACATTAAGTAGCCTCGACGTGCGAAAATCAACGGGACCGGATGAACTGCACCCGAGGCTGCACAAAGAGATTGCACTCTATGTAACCGGCCCATCGACTACCATATTTAGATTGTCCCTCAGTGAAGGCACACTCCCCTATGACGGGAAGGGTGCCATAGTAACACCTATCCATAAGGCAGGTTCAAGGCAGTACCAATCAAATTACGGGCCGATAAGTCTGACCGGTACTGCAGTAAAAATCCTAGAAAGAGTAATCAAGAAAGCCATCACAGTTCACACTCTATTGTCTCGTTCACAGCATGGCTTTCGTGGAAATTTCTCTTGCATGACGAATCCCTTTACAGTCAGAGAAAGTTGGGTTAAGTCTAAGGATGATAGGATACATGTAGATGTCACTTTCTCGGGCTTTAGTAAGGCGTTCGATAAGGTACCTCATTTCAGGTTGCTTGAGAAACTGGAAAGTTTTGGAATCACTAGAAACCTGCTTGCATGGATCAGAGACTTTCTTGCTGGAAGGAGACAAAGAGTAAAGATCAATTCTCAACTCTCCTCTTGTAAATCGATAGAGAGTGGGGTGTAGCAAGGCACAGTCCCGGGTACCCTGCTGTTTTTCCCTATATATAAATGAGCTGCCGAAAATCACAAAATCCACAATTGTTCTCTACAATGATGATGTAAAAACGCGGAGGAAAATTAGAGATGACGATGATATACGTGCATTTAAGAAAGACATAAACAACTTGTTTACCTGGTCAGAGAAGTGGTTTACGCCTATCAACGAGGGTAAATGAGTGAACATGTACATGAAGCACACAGATGGCAACACCTACGGTATGGGTGGGACTCCTCTTTTTTCACAGTGAGTCATGATTTGAAAACCACGGCACACTATCGACTGCTCGCAGCTCAGAGTTTTAGGACAGTCTGGGCATTACGTAGGACTTTTACAAAAATAAGTGATGGTATGTTCACCAACTTTAATAAATCATGTGTGGGTCAAATTGCAACGTTACGCTACGCACCATCATAGAACAGATCATAGAATGACAGTCAGCTAGATCTTTACCTCAACTTCATCCACTCTGAAAAGGCATTCAATAGCGTCGACCGATAAGTAATTTCGCAACTTCTGCAGTACGGTCTTAGTGCTACAAACCTTTATCAACCTCATTCAACAGCAGCTATAAGCTATGTGATGCCACATTCAGCGCGATCCACAATGGAAAGCCCAGTGATGCCTTTGAAATGAAGACAGGAGTGAGACAAGGTTGCCGCTTACTATCACCTATGATCTTCCTGATTGTGTTCGACTCGACTGGATTGGATCGTGTAACAAACTGTGAGGGGCGAGAAGACGGGCATACGCTGTTTGACCAATGAAAAGACCCTAGAAGAAGATTTGGATTTCGTCGATGATGATTTATGTTTAATGTTTTGTCGCACAAACTTGAAGATCAACAGGCAAAAACTAACAAGTTGGCAGAAGGGGCGAGGCGAGGGAGCAAAGATGGGGCTTCCTTGAGGTGAACTGAGAGAAGTTGGGGATGATGAAGATAAACAACTAACAGCAACAACAAGCACCAATCACCATCACCGGGGGGAATCTGAAGGAAGTTGTCTCTTTCACCTACCCAGGCAAGGCAGCATCGTTTCAACCACCGGTGACGGCACACATGAGGACGTCAAAGCAAGGATCAGAAAGACAGCAAGACAGGCCTTCATCAATCTGAAATTAGTGTGGACACCTACTGCACTGCACTCAGCATAAAGAACAAGATCCGGATTTTTAAAACTATTGTCAGTCAAGTCAGTGCTTCCATGTGATGATTGAGAGATTTGGAGCGTTATGAAAAGCATTCTCAACACACTGCACACACACATCATCAACAGCTGCCTACGCTCACTCGATACTGAAGATCAGATCAAATGGCCAGAAAGAATAAGCAACAAGAAACTCTGGCTGGCTGGCAACGAACCAACCAACAACCCATCGCCCAAAAAATATACAGAAGAAAGTGGAGATGGGTTGGATTGGGCATACACTGAGGAGACCGTTCGGGGACATCGAGCGTCAGGCCAGGCCAGGCCAGGTCAGACCTTTGAGTGGAACCCCAATGGGGAACGACGAGTTGGGGGTCCGAGGGTGACATGGATGAGGTGGTGTGAGGAAGAAATAAAAGATTCTGAGCAGTCGTGGAGCCACGTTGAGAAGACTGCAGAAAAGAGTGCAATGACGACGTGCTACTGAATCCGTATGTTCCACTAGGAACCCAAGAGATAGATAATAACAATAATAATAGTTAGGTTTAAACCAGAAAGCTGTTTACAGCCCTCAAATCCTTGTCTGAAAGGTGGCTCAGACCTTCTGGGAAGGGTTCAGAGGGCAGCCACTAGTGCGATTCATGCGATGGCTGGTCTGACCTACGAAGATCGGCTAAAGAAGCTGGAACTTCTCTCTTTATTCTGTCACTGACACAGAATAGATCTAACGATTCTATACAGGATACTTAGCAGTGACTTTGGACCTGATCTGCCTTCACTGTTCCTTCTCACTTAGTTAGAACACCTCAGAGGACATAGCAAAAAAATGCAAAAGCAAAGAACGAACGTACTCTCTGTAGAGTATTGGTTCTTGCGTCCAGTAATCAACTCCTGGAACTGACTCCCAGAAGAAGCGTCCACATCATCAAATGACTAGCCAATAGGAGGATTGGAAAAGTACAGTTATCTATTGGAAAAGGATGAATATAAGCTCACAGCCTTCTATCGTCAAAGAATAAATCTGAATCTGAAATAATCCTGGGTCCGCTACCTTTCTTGCTACATGTCAATGAACTGTCGCGAATGCTCAACCCTTTGGTGCTGCGATCCGTCTGTGAAATAAAAGTTTTGTAAGTTGGTCTGAACGTTCATACCTAGAAATTAACGCTATCAAAAGTGTAACAATGCATACTGGTCATCACAATTTCTCCCCGTATTCCCTTGAAGGCACACCACTACTCCGAGTCTTTGAACTGAAAGACTTAGGTTTTATCAAAAGTCATAATGTGAAAACTTCGGAGCACTGTATGCATCTGCAGCAAAAGACTTTTGAGCATCATGGTCCATCCGCACAGCTTTCCCAACTTTTGATCAGGATATGTTCAGGATACTTTATTCTAATCACGTTATACCTCATAAGGAATATTGTATTCAGACAGTTTGTCCATGCCTGAAAAACGATTATGAAGTAATCAAGTATGTTGGAAAGGGTAGGTACTAGGCCTGTGGTAGGCCTTTCAAATCTGCCCTATGAGGAACGACTGGATCGGCTAAACTCATTCCTTCTGTCAACGTACATTGGAAATCATTATAATAATTTCGTCACTGATTATTTCCATCTTTTCTCTCCTGCTAGGATTAGTTATCTCAGAGGGCATCACAGGAAAATTAAAAACTAAGATTGAATCAACTTCGCGTGAATTTGCGCTAATATAGTAATGATGATATACGATTGTGTGGTTAACGACTGGGACTCTTTACCTCGGAAAGTAGTATCAGCACTTTTGGCTAACGCGTTCGATGAAAGACTAGATCTTTACAGAGAAATCTTCTGCAACGATTAACACAAACCACTTGGTCTATTGTTTCTACTACGGAAACCGAAACAGAGCTTTCAAATTTTTTGATGAGGACATGTTTAGAATACTCTAATCTACCTACGTTAGACCTCACTTGGAATACTGCATTCAGACGGCCAGCCCATGCCTGAAAAAGGATGCTGACGCACTCGAGCGTGTTCAAAGGGTAGGTACTAAGCTTGTGGCAGGCCTTTCGAACCTGTCCTATGAAGAACGACTAGATCAGCTAGATTTATTCCCACTGTCTTACCGTAGAAGACGGGGGTGATCTCATACTGGCATTTCGTATTCTTAATAGTGACTTCGGTACTGATATGTCCTATTTTTTATCCCTTGTTAGAACTGACTATCTCCGAGGGTATCACAAGAAAATTCAAAAACCGCGATCGAATCAACTTAGCCTGAATCTGCGTTCCTCCCATCGTGTTGTCAACGACTGGAACTCCTTACCTCAGCAAGTAGTATCATCACCTTCTGTCAACGCGTTCAAGGAAAAACTAGATCTTCACAGAGATATTCTCTGCAAGGGTTAACACAGGCCAACTGGCCTACTATCCTTATAACTGAAACTGAAACTAAAAAAGATAGCTCACTGACCTGATATCTTTGTCCTCACAATAAATAGGGCTTATTTTCAATGGGAAATACTTTAGGCTATTATTTCTAGTTAATCCTTTCAGTAGTACTAGTACTATTGCAATTGGTACCACTGTAGTGTAGTGCTACACTACAACTACTCCACTAATACTGGTGCGTTAGTAAGTAAGAACCACAAATCCTTCCAAAAACACTCTTTTAATATTTCACATGTGTCTGCAGTATGCGTCATACTAATGACAATGCATGAAAAATGAAAAGTCTGATACAAAAAAGTGTGAACCAACTCGAAGGTCATTTTTAAATGTTTGCCGCTTACTATGGTAACATTTGTTTAAACTAACTACACAAAAGATATGAACAGGATACTCAGAGTTATGTGAAAACTGTAATATGCCATATTTACAAAAGTTTTGCGAAATTAAGAAACAGCCCTACTCAGTTTGGGGGAAATTTGAGGATTGCGATACGTGCCTTGTCTAACAGTTGCATCACATATCGTGTGTGCAGTGCATATCCTATTCTGTTGCAAGTGAATTCAGTTTCGCAAACATGCTATAAAACACATTCTTCATTGGCTTTAATCAGTCTATTTGATACGTCGTTTCTCAGATTCGTTACAACTTTATTACCCACGTTCTATAAAAGACCAAACGTTCTAGTACTTTCAGGCTTTAAAAGCTTCTACTCCTTCATATTGCTTTTCAGTCCCTTCACGAATTATTCTTGATGAATTTCTTCAGTCAGTTCCTAGAACTGTGGAATTCGCGGTTTCCTGGAGATAATAAGGCTCCTCAATTGGATTGTTTGAAGGCGGATCAGTTTAGCTCCGTGGTTGATCAGAAACGTGCACTTGAGGAACAATCTTGTAAACTATCGATGTCAATTGAAGAGCTCAAACAAAAGATTGACTATGAGTCTTTCACAAATGATTATCTACAGAAGTGCATTCAGAAGCTGGGCGCTATTTCACAGGTTTTTAGTGAAATTGAACATAATGACCCAAAAGTGTATGGAACTTCGAACAATCAACTTTCGCAAGTTAATAATTTCCCTGGTGATATTCCGAGCACGATGTTGTCCCACACTACGGCATCCTGCTTTTCTAGCAATCCTCCTAATTTTTCTTTGTTGCCGCAATGTATTGCATCTGGTTTGATAAATTCTGCTTCTCCACTTCTTGCAGCTGTTGCTACTTCTACGGCTCCGTTTTTGTTCCCCACAACACTCACACACTTTTCATGTCCAGATGTAATCAAGTAAGTCATAACTTCTTTTTTCTTGGTTATTTTGCGGTTTTTTTTTATAGCAACAGTAAACAGTTGTATAATACTTGTAGCAGGTTTGGTCCACGAAACCGAGCTTGCACTTTAAACCAAACAGTATGAACTTGGTTACTATTGAGTAAGCAGCTTTCGCATTCAGTATAATTTGGAGTCCAGAATTTTGATGACAAGTGACTAGTTAGTGCCATAAGATTGTCTCCCGCTCATCATGATTAAGCCAGTTTGGGTTTATAATAATGATTAATATTAATCAGTCTTCTGTCCCATCAACTAAGAAAAGAGCGAAACGTCAAGATTTAGAATCATAAAGAAAATATTATTTTTTGAACAAGTTTTCAAAAACTTATAATCATGTATATTTGAACTCTAAACTGGAGCTTAGCGGCAGAAAATTAGACGGTTTATTCCGTTTTTCAAATAGCTGAGTCACACTATCTTCAGGTTTATGTGTGTGTGTGTTCAATTCCTAGTATACATAATGATGTTGACAGTGCTGTGACTCGATGATTAAGAAAGTCAACATCCACTTGTCAGTGTGCACTTTTAAACCCCTATACTGGCTGAACTCTTGCTTGCATGAGCGTTTTCAACACTGATCCACACTGTTGGGAATACGTTGAAATTATCACACTAAATAGTAAGATTGTATGGGAAGAAACAAAGTATAAATGACTAGTTATGGTTGGGTTTCTCCTGTAAAGACAAGCGCTAACCAATAAAGGTGTGACTAGAAACTGAACAAGTACTCTTGTTCATAATCTAACTTGTCGCCTGTGACGATTGAATGAATGTTCCCACTGTTCAGATACCAACAATAGCTTCCTATTTCGTCAAAAGCGAGGTTTCATTATCATCAAGTACGCTATATTTGTTCAAATGACACAAACTGCATGTAGTTTGTTTGGTTGAGACTGTAAGTGTTATTGGTTTCTCCGCTACAGTAAAGTCCTAGCATGTTTGTATTTGTCATTCTACACAAGAACCTCAATTTTTGAGTCTTTTAACGTGCACTAAGTGAATCTGTTGCTTATGCAAATAGACGTGGGGAATTGGTGTTACGAGTTTCAAGGACAGGGCATAACATCTAAATCTCAGTCCAATGCGGATTCTACATATCTATGAAACTTCAATCTCAGCTGTTTTTAAACAAAAACAGCACCTCGACTTCATATTAGTTCCTACCCGCAAAATTACAGCTGGCCTATAGGGACCTGTTTGGTGTTAGTAGGTTTTCATTTCTTGTAGTGTCAGTTAGTCATCTATTTGTCCTTCGAAGATCAGATGCATTATGTAACAGCACATACCTACGGCATTCCTTATCCTTTGTTAAATTAGACTGGTTTCTATACAGCTGCCATATGTCCCTGGCAAAATCACTTTGAAAGTCAGACTGCCAAACAATCAACACAAAGTCTGACAAGTGCATAAACTCAAGTTATCACTAAGTGCCGCCTGAAAATGACAATAAAAGACATTAAAGTACGCTAAATTGTAGGAAGGGGAATAGGTAAATTCAAGTTGATTGGTGTTCAAAATCTTAAAGATGGTAAAGTATGCACATCTACACCATCGTGATAGATTTTGAGCCATATCATTTATTATCTTCAAGTACTGATTCCTATCATCTTGAGAATCGCACCCAACCTATACGGCTCGAACCAACTGTTTGAGACCTCACAGACTGGTGCCACTTCTTAGTCTGGTTACCGTTAGCTTTCTTCTAGCCTTAAAGTACTTTGGTTAACGTGGCGCATGGAGGTAGGTAGTGGCTGTGCACGGTCACATGCCCAAGCCACTTCAATCGGTTAAAGTTCACAACTTTATCTACTGAATTACTTCCCTTGTCTGGTCCTTCACACCCAAGTTTGACATTACTTCTATCATGCACGAGCAGTTACTATGGAATTGGCCATACATAAGCCAGTCCAAGACTTATTCTGAGTTTTATTTACTGACCATTTGTTTTTTCCTGTTTGGAAAGTGTAGGCCAGACAGACGGGCAGAACAACAAGGAGACTAACAGTGATATAGATTAATAATGACCAATAATCACAAACGATAGATCTGTGGATGTCTTCACTCTTTGATAGCTCCTAGAGCTTGAACATTTTTACGAAAGTAGAGTTTTTTCCTCCCATACACCTTTGTCTACTTTAATATTACTATTTCTGTACCCACTTCTTTACAGTTGATCTAAAGTATGGTAACTGGAACCTATTTGCTTCTATATGAGGTTCTAAGTTGGTTGTTTGTCTTTCCTATAAAGGATAGGCATTTGAGTAGTTATCTTACATCATGTTATTCCTATGCTTATTTCCTGACTATGTTTTATCATGCTTAACCGTGGTGTCTGGACGTTTAATAATTCACTGCTTCGTGTTTTATGTCAATGGTTAGTTGCTCATAAGTTCAATCTATTTTCATGTTGTTTCAAAATGTGTACTAACAAGAAAGAAAAGTAGTTTTCTCTTCGTGTTTAATAGACCAAACCACAATAACTACTTAACATATGCACTGTACGTTGTATAGATCAGTTAGTTTACATTAAGAATATTTTTACGCGCTTAATTGTTCACATTTTCCTTCCTGCCTTATTTCACCTCATACAACTCAGTTCGGTACATGTCCATGTACTGGACTATAAGTCACATCTGTTTCGTAAGAGCTTTTGATACTGATCCGTTACCCAGGTGGGTTGAAGTGGGTCGGGATTCGAACCCTGAACCCATTACTTGGAAGCTGAATTTCCAAACCACTGAGCCAGCTTCACATGCTTTCATTAGCCTAAACGCAATCTAAGTCATACTTTATTTGCAGTAAAATCATCAAAATAATCATATTTAGCTTTAATTTTATGGATGGTGTATAGTCGCTGGAAGTATTTGAACGTTGAATAATCTTATTTGTTACTCCTAAATTAATGTGTCGATAATGTATTTTCATGTCACCATAATTCTTTTTATTTTCATCTCCTATTTCATTCATATTGGTTTGTAAGTGCTGAAAGTTTATAGTTTTGCTACACTATTATGGTGGATGGTTTTAAATTTTCACCATTTTTCAAACTTGTACAAATTTTATTCAACTCTTGTTGTTGATAGATCTGATCCGGATCAAGTTGGACAGTCCAACAGGCCTGCTGTTTCAGGTGATCATTCCCTTGTCCGGTCTTCATATGAGCATCAACCTTTTGAGCTTACACCATCTATTCATAACAGTTTGTTTTGTCCTGGAGCGACCTATCCTCCGCCAGCAGTCTCACGCTCTTTGTCTCATGATACAGGAAGTTCCATCAAATCCAGTTATTCAGCTAGGTTGAACGATGGTTTAACAGGGTCCACTACCGATGCTCAGGCAGCAGCTGTTGCTGTTGCAGCTGCTTTTGGACTCAATTTTCCTACAGGTGGATCTCTCGCTAATAGCAATAATATGATGGGATTTAATAAACAGAGAAACCAGTCTGGTTCGAGTCTACTCCAAATATCCCCTTCGAGTTCTATCAATGGTGTAGATGGAAAGGAAGAAGATGGTTCAACTGAACGTCCTTTTCAGTGCATGACATGTTCAAGAAGTTTTTCTGTGAAGGCTGGTCTAGTGCAACATATGCGCACTCATACAGATGAGAGACCGTATCCATGTATACATTGTGGCAGAGCTTTTAAACAGAAAATCCAACTCACTACACATATGCGTGTACATAGTGGTGAACGACCATATGGTTGTCGTTTGTGTGGTAAATTATTCCGGCAGCAAAGTCATGTAGTTCAGCACCTAAGAACTCATACTGGAGAAAAGCCACATAAATGCTACCAATGTGGTAAAGCCTTTCGACAGAAATACAGCCTTATTTCCCACCAACGTCGTATGTGTCGCAATCGTTCCGCATCTAACCCGATTGCAGCTGGAATGACTATGTGGATAAGCCCGGGGGCCGGTGGGGATACTGGTAATCTCATTAAAGAATTTTCACCTAACAAATGTAATTCATCTATTGCTAGTCCGAATGCTTCATTATCAACTCCAATCTCAGTCATGACCTCTCTTCAATCACCCACATCCCCATTCCCTTCTTCACCGGTGTCTAATAATCTCACACTTCCACAAAACCAGTTTCAAAACCCGGTCACTTTAAACGGTGATTCACATTGTGAAAATCCAGTTATAACAAGGCCCCATTGCAATTCACTGTCTAAAAACAAATATGAACTACAAGATTGGTCATGTTCTCTGTCAAGGCATCCATCGCGCCTAACACCAGAAGATGATCCCATTCATAGTCCTAGAACTTCAAGATCCAGTACTTTACAAAATCATGCTCCGATGGGCCTTACCTAACAGATGTCATAGTTCTCTGAACTACAAATGATTCAGAATATATTCACTATTGTCCTATTTGTTGTTGAATTGTACTCGTAATCTATCAGTAGATGCCCTTTGTTTTATTTTGATAAGACGTCAGCTGTTGTATATCAAACCATTAAACTTAGGCAAATACTGGATGCATTCACCTACTCAGATTCTTTCATTCATAATAAACAAATTGAATTATTTTGCTGATATTGTATTCTTTTGCCTGTAAGTGTTATGACAGTGATTCTTGTTATTTCTGCTGCATATTATTAAAGCCATAGAAGCTTAAATCCACTTAACCTCTACACTTTCGTTCTCCAAATTTTCCACCAATGTCGTTATCTATGATTTTACCATATTGCAAAAAACTTGCTCCTTTATTTTGTAAAGTGATTTAAAAGTCAATCTTTTTTCGTTTTTTCTTTACACTTCTCCCTCTCATTCTCACATTCAATGGATTTCCAACCCGGATAAATAAGTTTCATCTACTTGTGTTTGCTGAGACATGAAATTATCAATCACTTTAAATTTTGATATTTTTGACTAGAACAGTTGGATCATATTCTTTGTTTGTTTGCGCTTGGTATGATCTTTTCTATTTGTAATTAAGCCCGAACTATTCAAATATTATATCACATGATCCAACTTGAATTATCAGAATCTAAGCTTTGAATACCTTCGTTATTATTTTCAGTCTTAAATTTATTCGAAACCGTGTAGCTATTGGCTGTTTGCGTCGTATTTATGCTTCGGTACTACGAAAAATGTTCTGACAGTTTTTTTACCGTCAAAACTGTTTATAACGCAAAGCAGAGTAAGTAAGATATTTTTCCAACAAAATACAGTTGACCCAACGGTTGGATACATACATGTGGCATTATATTAGTTTTTACCTGCAAGATTTCATTGCCTATTTTTGCGGTTGTTCTCTAGGTATGTCGTTCAGTTTATCTGAAAATATCCCACCATGCCTGACATGTCAGACAACTTTGTCAGTTTCCAGCTTCTTTAACAGCATATTTTAGTATCTTAGCTTACCACTACTGGTCAATTCATATTTTTCTTGTGGAAATAGTGTTTCGTGCATGTTACCCTCGCAGTAGTGGGACGTAAAGGATACAAAGTACCCTCAACCTATGGTAACACATCTCAGTTGTAAGTAGGGAAGTACGGTTCTTCATCTGGTCGACGCTCAAAGCATGCTAACAGTTTACCTATTGTAATCATACAATTGCATTCGTCCTGTAAGAAATACCATTTTCTTGTAATACTTACGAATATGTGTATTGTGTATATTGCTGCCACAAGAGGAAGTTATTTACTAATTTGGGAAATGGTTTTATCCTGCTAGCAAATGCAGAGTATTTGCGTTAATTTTAATTATTGGGTTATGGTTCCATTCATAACATCCCGTGTATGTAATGGCATAACACTGAAGGTAATCAAAAGTTTAGTTAAAGGGGACATATCAGATAGTGAGGTATTGATCAACTGCTATCGTCATGCCTTGACATTGCAGGTAACTTAAGTTTACTAGTAATGATGTATATTGGCTTGCAGTGGGATCCAGGATAATCTTTTCGTCATGTTTGGGACTTGTCAGCTGGATGTACCTACTTCCTAGTTTGGCATGTTTCCACGTATAGTCGTCCACCGCTTACCAGCTGGAGTGCGATTAGGCTGAAAGTGGTTAAGGGTGACCATACTAAGACATGACAACAATTCATGAAGTCTTTGACCATTGATCATTGAGTGAATATCAGGTTGTTATGTATTCGTTTTCTTTCTCCAGGACTCGATCGACAAGATAAAGATCACTGATAATATTTCAAAGTTGATCATACTTGCTCGGCGTTAGAACGCTTGGAAGCGAAAAACAAACCGACGATACCTTTTTCTGAAAATCTTCATCAGTTTCCAAATATTCATCAACACACTAAGTTTTGCTGTTGGCAACAAACATAAAATTAAAAAGAGTTTTATGATCGTCACTGGTGTCTTGTGCATTTAACTGAAACAGTTAATTAGCTTAGTTTTTAAGTAAGGTACAAAATAGTCTACTATTGTATTTGTTAAGTGCTGTAGCTCAGATCGATACACTTCTACCAGTCCCTATATTGTTTTTACCCATCTGTTAACAATATTAAATTCAATGATTTTCGTAATCCTTATTGAGTAAATGAGATTACGTTTTTTTCTACTTGATTTAGGTTTTACAAACAAATTTATCAACCTCGTAAGACATGTTACATTTTAATTGTAGAGATCAAGATGTTTGGATAAATTCTGGAGGTGATGAGATTTCTTCCAAATTACTGGCTTTTCATCTGTTTAGGCTCTAAATAAGTTGGTTGGAAACCTCATTTTGTGTCAAAGTATCCTAGAGGTTTTTGCAAATCGTGTGTAACTGTTACTCTTTAAATCAATTAGTCAATGGAGACAGTTTGTATTTGCTACAGCGGTTTCTCTGTTTTAATATTCTTTACTATAGTAAACTAATGCACTTCACGATAAATCCAATTTTGTTTGCAGTAACGCAAAGTATTGCATATATGATGCACTTTATAACATTTGGGTATCCACTGTCTGATTATTAGTTCGGTTACGATTCGATATTTGTTGGTACGGGTGGTGTTACACTAGGTTTTTTAGGTGAGCGAACGAGTGGCATCTTATAAAATATCTTTCAAAAGAGCAGTTTAACTCCAATGTAATAGGTAACTGTGCTACAATACGTCAATCTGTGTCCCACCTTCATATGATCTCCAGTTATGCAGACGTTAATTGTTAGGGCGGTACACTACCTTTTTTCCCCTAATTAGCATTCTGTTGTTGTAGTGATCGCTTTAGAACTGAAAAGCTTCTAGCTAAATGATGCTAAAATAGTTTTGGAATTTCGTCTGGTTTTTAAAATGTAAGCATTAGGATTTAGTAAGTCATTCGCTTAACAGCTCATTGAACCTTAGGAACATAGTTCACTACAGATTCTCATGTTAATTTTTGACAGCTTAAAAATCGAATTTCGATTACCGCAGGGTATTTAATAAGGGAGTTGAATATCTACAAAAGGTATATCGTCAAAAATGTAAGATTATAGATAGAACGTTTTTGCACTGAAAATAGTTCTCCCCTTTGTTACAGCATACACTAGGTGTGTGTTTTGTCGAATTTTAGCTTATATTTGTTGAGGTCTAAGTGATAATCAGTTTGACTATCTGAGATACTCTTGGTTTGGCAGACTTGTATTATTGATACAGAATGATGATTGGAGGTGAAATGGAAATCTAGGCCGCGGCAGGAATCGAACCGGCGATTACTGAATTCATGCAATTCGAGTTGGTAACGCTACGATGTTTGACTGAGACAGATAATGCCGTGCAGTTGACTTTAATAAACTGTTTTTGATTGAAATACTTGCAGGCAATACTGGTAAAGTGGTTTGGATGATAACGGTTAGACAAAAGGTCCCAATTCATAGAAGTTTACTTTCTTGTAAGGAGAAACTTTTGAATGTCAACAGAAAACAGCCTGAAATCAATGTTCACTAGTCTACAATGTTTAGGGATATTCCTTCATACTGTAAGATGGTTATACTGAAAATTTGTTCAGTAGATTGGTAGGAAATTTCAATATTTATATACTTATTGTTGTCTAATGTTATACAAAGCATGTTTAGTAGCCAAGATGTCCATAGTTACTGATGAAGTTAAGTGATTAAGAGCATCTTTATAATCAAGAATATCCGCAAACAGAGCAAAATATGATGTTAACTTCTACAAATCTAGACTAGCTTGTTGTTGTTTTGATACTTGTAATTTCCTGTTGCTATACAGGGTCGAATTGTTCGACCTCTGTTGGCAGATGGGCTCCTATGCAGATGGCCTAGTGGATAACGCTTTGGTGTTTGAGGCCATGGGTAGCGGGTTCGAGTCTCAGTGAGAACAACACTCATTGGGATACAGGTATATCCAGCTGACGGTTCCCAAATAGGAGGAGACGCGTGTTCTTGATTCCATTGTTAGTCATCAAGATTAATATAGCTTATTGTTGTTAGCATCCTTTTTTTAAAATAAAACGGCAGTAAAACAGATTGTTATAATGCACTTTTAAAAGTGTTGACGGTCGTAGTTGTATATATTCATATGCAGCTGAATAACCTTTGATATAGTCATTTATGTACTAAGGCAATATCATCCTGACACTGTGAGAATATATACTTACTACTTATATGCTGAACGGAAACAAGACGTTACCATTATTGGAATATGAGGATAACTAACTCTAAAGATCAACTGTAGCTGGAGAGATGATTAGGCTTTCTTTTTCCAACGGAATGAAGAAACCTTTGATTTTCTATCAAAGGAATAATGGACACAATCAACGGAACAATTAAGAATGTCATGGATAAAATGTAAGTAAATCTAAGTCTATTATTCATTAATTTCTGCGCAACATTCTACTAAAAAACAAACAGATATCCACCTGGATTCATTGACTCTAACACCGAACCAAAGAGAACTACATAGATACCTGCATGTATGTTTTTTCGCGAATGTGTATTTACTGGTGCTTATTGACCTGAGTCGATGAATACAATCATAGGCTTGTGATACATGGGAGAAGTGCAACTTTCCACTTATGCAAGGTGACATTAACGTAAGTGAGGCGCTGTCATCCTCATAAGCGGTCATCTAGCCTTATTTCTGTTGACATCCTTTCCACCGATATTCATTTCATCAATGTGTCTATCCTCGAGCGACTATACGAAAACGCAGTCGAAGTAATTCACATAAATCTGATATATTCAACTTAAGGTGGTCACTGCTGATGACTTTCAAACTTAGATGAAACACCTAATGGTTCACCAACTGATGTCATGCTAATCAACAAATCCTTATAAGCCAACAACTTGATTTATCTTTAAAGCCATATTGTAAGTAGGAATAATTAAAATCGTGGTAAAGTAGCCGCACAACTTTTACCCTTCCGAATAGAAAATGTTTACTGGCTATCGAATGAACGTTCAAAATTAGGATCAAAAAGGGGCGTTTAGCTATTAACTTAAACGAATTAACCTATAAAAGTTACAATCGGGACTGAAATCCATCTCCATTAGTACAAAAGGATGAAAATCAACAAGTGATAAATACAATACTGATAAAGAGTCAACCATTCATAAAAGGATAAGAATCTCAATGAACTGGAGAGTATTGGTTCACTGGCAAATTTTCACAAAGTAAGATTGCTAATATACCTTGAAACTTGACATAAGTTGAATAGATGACTAGTGAATTCACCATTTATATATGCTTAACCAGAAATCATATGACTGCGCTGGATATTTTGAATTTCAAAGCTATTTGAAATTTGAAATCCTTGGAGGTCTCATTGTTCATCGCTGCCACTCAAGATGTTATTAATTCTCACATTTGATGCGGTAAAGTGAACGATTTGTACTTACAAAAAAATATATAAATTTCAAATATGGTGCATTCTCATACTTGGCGCTTCTACACTCTGTCGTACATCTATTCAAATAGTCAGTGTAGTAAAATCAGCATAGTAATTACCTCAGAGAAATATCAATTTTATGAAATTAGTTTCGTAATAAAAGTACAATAGTATAGTTGAACATGGAAAGTTCTCTATCTCTACAACCTCATGAAACTGTCAGATGTACTTTCAGAGTTTAGAATGTTATAAACTGAAAATGTAAAAGAGCTATATTAAAGTCGTCTAGTATTCTCTTTATGAATATAATTAAAAGTAACAATTTTATATAACAATTTATTTTCATTTATTTGTGTTTTGCAACGAATTGACATAGTGAATTCCATATATCGTTTCAAAATAACAATATAATACAAAAACCAGTTTTCAAATACTATGTCTAAATCTCGTTCAATAAGACATAATCTGACCTATACTCTTCGGTTTACTTATTGTATAATTTCATTATATTGTGTAATAATTATGAAATTATTGATTGACAAGAACAAACAAATTAACCGACTACAACACGAAACAAGGTTTCGATTAGTAACATATATCATAGTGTGAATTACTTCATTAAACTTTGCCAAAACCGTTTTTGTAATTGTAATTATCTATCATACAACAAACGACAAGTTCAATATGTGAATTGGTTAGTAACAATAGAATTCGGGACATTTAGAGAGATACTCAATTCACCTTATCATTAGTTGAGTAACCGGACATAAGATTCTATGAAATATCATCTCAGCTCAGATACCTTACTATCAGATAAACACTATTAACAGATGAAGTTGTCCATGTAAGTTGACTTCATTCATGACTTCATCGGAACACAAAAGCTTAACTGGGTCAAAATTGGTAAATCCTAGTAAGGTAAGGAATTTAGAAAAAAAGCTCAGCCATAGCTATGCAGTGATTACACACAACCACACAATAGGATGGGATAGGGTGAAAATTCTTAAAACTAACATAACAGGGTGGAGGGGGAGATTGATAACTGAATCTTTGTTTATCGAATCAACACCTAACACATGCAACAGGAATGACTCAGCACCTGTTCCGAATATATGGAAAATCTTACTGCCCATCTCACAAAGAGACGAAGAAATTAAGATAAAGGATATCTCAAAGTTGTGTAGTTATCTTGATATGACTATGGACAATAATTTATGTCCGAAACGTAATCCAATGAACAATACTGTTACACTGTATGATAAATCTAATAAATCAATAAAAATGGAATTACATTCTACCACAGTACACAAGTTTTACTCATATATTGATGAGGAAAGAGTTATTTGTAAGATTTTCTGATGCATGAGGATTGCATACAAGTCATTGGGTACCCTTATAAATGAATAACATGTACTCATTACCTTACTGTTTGCGTAGAGAAGGTTTATAAGAAATCAATAACATATGTCGCAAAATGGATAGGTTTATAAATGTACAAATAACTGTTTGATAGTAGTTGTTTGCTACCCGTTATTTCCCCTTGCTATACAGGGTCGAATTACCCAACCTCTGTTGACAGACGGGTTCCTGTGCGGATGCCTCGATACCACCAGATATTCGTTAGGTTGTATTCAGCTTGGTGACTTACAGATGTTAAGGCATTTGATCATATATAACGGTCACTAGGTCTAGGGCTTCCTACAGACAAACTCCCGATACTTTACCCTGATTCTAACACTTCTTTTCTTTCTCTGTTAAAAAACAAATGTGAAACATTTTTATATTTCGTTATCAGCGCAATACAATTATTTGATTATAAGGAAAGACGAAAACAGCTGCAGCGAAGAAAATATTTCTCCTTCCAGAAAAGCAATTTACCAAGCCACTCAAAGGCAGGGAGATTAAAGTATTTGGATATAGATGAGGTAAACCAGTGCTGTGTTCAAAGAAAGTACGTATATCTTTCCCAGGACCGTTATTAAAACCCTGATAGTTCTAAATAAACCCTCTATAGTGCAACATTATTTATTTTATTACTCCTAATCCTTATTTCTATTGCGTAACTTTCCTTCATTATTCAGTGCATCTTGACCTCCTGACTGGAAGAAATTCTGGAATCCTCGCCTTTTTGTAGTTTATATTCTTGAGTGTACGACTCAGCAAAATGATTTCATCGAATGGGAAATTTCCTCTTCCCTACAACTGTCTACTCAGCTGTGATTTAACCTGACAGAGAATCCGTTTAGGATCAACAGCTGATGTAATCTTACCAAGAGGTTTTCATAATTCATTTTTTCTATCTACAACAGAATCAGTCTAATTATGGTTATTTGAATTGAACACATAAAACTTCTCTAAGCAATTAGTGTGATGAAAACCAAACATTAGTGTTTTTTATTTGTTTGGCGACAATTGCCAGGAAGCTGTAAACG